AAAAAAAAAAAAAAAAAAAAAATCAATCAATCAAACCTTGACTCAAAAGTGAAATCTTCATACTTATACTGTAGTTCTAGCACTCGAGAAGGATGAAACAGGAGAATCAAGCCAAACTTTAGGGGTGTAGCAAAACGCTATCTAGAAAAAAATTTTTTTTGGTACTGGGAATGGTTTGCCAGGGAGGGACTGTGACAAGCTATATCCCTGGCCTGAAAAAATTTTAAAAACAATTCCAAACTGATAAAACATACGAGAGGAAAGGCTTCACAACAAATATGAAATGTGTATAAAAAGCTTTCACCAATCCATGAACATTTTAATAAAAATGGATGAAATAAAAGGAAAAATAAACATAGTATCCAAAAAGGATACAAATGAATATTCAACTGTATTAGGAATCTGAACTAGCATTTCTCTTTTTTTTTTTTTTTTTGATCCTTTTGAGACAGGGTCTTACTATGCAGTTCAGTCTGGCCTTGATCTCACTTTGTAGCCCAGGCTGGTCTTGAACTCGCAATGATCCTCTTGCCTCAGCCTCCTGAGTGCTAGGATTACAGGTGTGTGCCACCACACCCGGCTGAACTAGCACTTCTCAACGTATGACTCACAAATTCCCAAGGGTCCCCCAAACCTCTCAGGGGATTCCTTAGGTCAGCACCATTTTCAAAATAATACTAAAACATCATTTGTTTTTTTTGGCTATGTTAATAACACCAAGAGTATAGAAGCAATGGTGGCACACACCTGTCACCCCAGCACTCGGGAGCACAGGCAGGAGGGTTGTGCAAGTTTGAGGCCAGCCTGAACTATACAGTGAGACCCTGTCACAAAAGCAAAAACCTTTGGGGCTGGGGATTTAGCTCAGCGGCACAGTGCCTGCCTGGCAAGTGCAACATCGTGAGTTCATTCCTGGTCCCAGAAAACAAAACAAACAAAAAAAAAGCAAAAACCTTGGTGGTAACTACCAGCTCCTTAGCATGAACCGAAGCAGTGACACTAAGCTCTGCTAGTAGTTATTATGTTCTTCACACCAGACCACACAATGTTTAAAAATAAAGTTTTTGTTTGCCTGAGCCAATATGGTGGCACAGGCCTGAACTTCCAGCACTTGGAAGGCTGAGGCAAGAGGATGACACAAGTTCAAAGCCAGCCTGGTCTACACAGTGAGACCCCAATGCAAAAATGAAAGCATTGTTTAAGAAGATTTTTGTTTCTGAAAGATCATTTTACATTCGCCAGGCATAGAGGTACAGGGCCGTAACCTCAGCACCGTGGGAAGGTGAAGCGTAACAGTCACAAATTTGAGCCCAACCAGGACAATTTAGTAATTTAATGAGACCCTGGCTCAAAATAAAAAGTAAAAACGGTTGGGGATTTTGCTCGATGGAAGATCCTGCATTCTGTCCCAGGTAAACATATACACACACAACCCTCCAGGATGGTTCTTTCTTTTCTTCTGCACAAAAGAAAGGAGGATGGCCATCTCTCGGAAAAGCCCTCGAAGGACTGTTTCGCTGCAAGTTGAGTGAGCTGCTTCTGTTTTCCTCAGCACCACTTTCAAGAGAGGGCTCCTCGGACAGTGAAACCATCCCCTGGAGGAAGATGTGCTGCTGCCAGTGATAAAAATGGAAGCTTCACATGAAGGCTCTGTTTCTACAAAACTTCGACTACTACTGAGAGCTTGGGAACAACCCAACAGTCAGGACTTTTCTGATGAGACTTATGGAAATATTAACAAAGGTGAGTTTTAAATTTTGTATGATGAAGTATGTCACTAAATCTGTGTTTTCCAAGGGATCAACAGTTACAAAGTAACACCTGAGTAAAAAGATTCACCCAAAATACAGGGCCGAACAACGGGCTTTAAAGTAGCTGTGTGAAAATTCCTTGATATGCTTTCAGATTCCACACTACAACTAATTAATCTCTGAGGAACTTCCAGTTATACCCAGGCATGGTGGCCATGCCCAGCTACTCCAAAGGCTAAGGCAAGAGGATTCAAAGATCCAGGCTGGCCTGGCCAATTAGTGAGACACTGTTTCCAAATAAAAAGGGCTTAGCTCGTAGCTCGGTGGTAGAATGTTGCTGTGCATGCCCAAGACCCGTGGGATCAATGCCCATTACTACAGGGGAGGGGAAGGGTGGACAGGGGCACAAGGAGGGGAGGTTGTAAAGCAATGTAAAGCAGTGTGAAGCCCCTTCTTTTGGAAAACATAGTTTTTTGGTTTTTTTGTTTTTTGTTTTTTTGCTTTTTGAGACAGGGTCTCACTATGCAGTTCAGCCTGGCCTTGAACTCACTTTGTAGCCCAGGCCAGCCTTGTACTTACAGTGATCCACCTGCCTCAGCCTCCCAAGTGCTGGGATTACTGGTGGGTGCTACCACACTGGGCCCTCAACAATTTTTAAGTATGAAAGATTCAAAGGCCAAAAATGTGATAAACACAGACCTAAAATATATAAATTAAGTAAGAAATCCTGTTAAATTTACAAAGGCAAGAATAATATTTCCCAGTCCTAACAGAGATGTAGAGAAACTGTCATTCTCAGAGCACAAAGAAGGGAAAAGCTGATAAAATAATTCAAGGAAATTTTGGAAACATGCACCGAAAAGAGAGGGAGCTAGGTATGAAACTTACGGCCTCATGCATTGCTAAGCGCACACTGTATCGCTGAGCTGCACCCACAAGCCCCACAGACCTTTAAAAACAAAAAGCAGCCTGGGGCGGTGCCACACACACTGGTAATCCCAGCATCCTAGAAGGCTAAGGGAAGACCACAAATTAAAGCCTAACCTGGGCAAATCAGCAGGATCCTATCTCAAACAAACAAATAGAACAAACAAAACTGGGGGGCAGAGGAAAGATGGAGCTCAGTGAGAAGGCACCGGGTTCAATTCTCAGTGCCAAAGACAGAAAAAGAACGGAGGGAGAGAAGACAGAGAACCTTAGAACTGGCGATTCCACTTCCAGAAATCTATTTGAAGACAATACTAAAGATGTGATGGTAAAATTCCTGTACGGCTTTCTGACAAATGTATGGATGAAATTTTTATTTTTTCACTACAAACTGGGACAGGGATTTAGCTGAGTGGTGGTGGGCGTGCCTAGAATGCTTGAGGCCCTGGGCTCAAATCCCAGCATGGGCAAGGAAAAAAGAAAGTTAGAAATCAGGCTGGCTGTGGTCCATCTGTAACACCAGTTATTTAGCAAGTGAACTCAGAAGACTGCAGGCTCAAGTCCACCTGAAGCAACCTAGTGAAGCCCTGTCTCAAAAAATGTTTTTTATAGGCACCAGGATGCAGCTCAGCACGGACAAGGGCCTGGTTTCCATCTCCAGCAACCTTAAAACACAAATCATTATACACAGTAGAAACTTAATTTTATGTATTTGAAAGACTATACCAATGTATTAATAGTAGGGTATTAATAGTTTGGATCTTGAGTATTTCTGCTAAATCTTTTCAATCGTTTAGGTTTTAGTTATCAAGTCAAACATGGTTTAATAACAGGTCAAGCATGGTGGCGCACATCTGTAATCCCAGCACTCAGGAGGCTGAAGCAGGAGGATTGGGGCAAGTTTGAGGCCAGCTTGGGCTACACAGTGAGTTAAAGGCCAACTTGAAATATATAACAAGATCCTGTCTCCAAAAACCAAAAATAAAATAAAATAAACCTGGAGTGGGAAATATTAAAAAATAAATAAATGACAGGTAAAACAAAATAAGGCTATGTAAGAAAAACCACCACTCCCACTTCCTATAAGCACACTCGGCCAGTATCATCCTCCCTGTGGCAGCTGCTGCAACAGCCGGGTACATACCCCTCTTCCTATGCATGAAGACAGGCGGACGTCCACACACCTGACAGTCACCGATCAGTGCGTACCCAGCTCCCAAAGATGCAGTGACAAAATATCTCCTGCTTTCCTTCCACCTGCTAAGTCATAAGCCTGTCCTGCTCCAAAGATACTGATTTTATTCACTTTTTAATAGCTATATATGTTTCACACAACGTGCTGTAAGATATTAAGCGTTACTATTGGTTATTCCAGATACTTACAGATTTTATATTTTTGATGCTGCAGTAAACATCTTTACATACACATTCTGCTATTTTGATATTTTCCATAGGATACAGTTCCAAAAGTGAGTTTGGAACATACGTATGCTTAAAAATTACTAGATATTATTTTATTACTTACCAATATTGTAGATACCATATTCTCCCCAACACTGGATGTACTTTTTGCTAACCTGGTAATTCACTGTTATTTCAATTTGTATTTCTCTGTCGTGGAAACTGATGTTTTCGTCTGTTTATTGACCCTTCATATTTCTCCAACTGTTCATGTCCTTTGCTCCTATTTCTATTGCTACCATGTGTCCAAATAATGTTTCCTAAACTTGGAATTAGAGTTCAAGAAAGTGCAGCTTACACTATATGCATAGGATACGGTAAACAGATGGCAACTCACCTAAGTGGGGGAACAGATCAGTGTCCAGCTGGTGCTTCTGGGTGTACAGTTTCACCAGTCTCTGCAGCCGACTTATACAGGACAAGTGTGGAGAGAAGGCCGTGGCTTTCATGAGGACCCGGTCAGTCCGGGGCGGGTCTGCGGCAGGAGCCCTAGTGGCTGGCAGGAGGGGCAGAGGCCGCTTGTGCGCCACCTGCCTGGCTTGTGCTATGGCGTGTGTGGTGGGGGCCACTCCCTGCACTGGGACGCTGGTGTGCTGAGGCTGAGGTGACTTGCAGATGGAGCCCTGCGGTGCCGTGGGAGGTTTTAGAGAGGTGGACAAAGGTGATAGGTGGGCGTGCTGCTGCGGAGGTTGCGGCTGCTGCTGCTGCTGCTGCTGCTGCTGCTGCTGCTGGGAAGGTGCAGGAGGGGGACTAAAGTGCTCTTGTCGAACTTTTAAAATCTCCGTCTCTCTCTGGCGCTGCCGGTTCTGGGCCAACTTGCTCTGCAACTTCCTTCTCACAGTTGCACCTTTCTTTAGGTCATCATCTTCCTCATTGAACGCAAATGGATCTTCCAAGTCAGTGTCCAGGTAGTGGAGAGGCACCCTGGCCCCGGGAGGAGAGAGGGACATGCCATCCAGTCCGTTGGGCATCTTCAGGGCCAACGTGGGCACAGCCAGGCTGAAGGCCATGGTATCCATCTGGTGCCTGACTTTGACCTCATCTATAGGATCACTCTTTTTCTTCCTCTCTTTTTTCGGGATAAAGCCAAGTACCTGCAAGTGGCTGTTGCAGTACCTTTAAAAATACACACATATGTGGGAAAATATTCATGTACTGATGAAGAACAGAATATAAATGTGCATATTATAAATGTGAAGCCTAATACATTAAAAATTGCACAACTACAGTAACTTTGGGCATTCATTGAGTTAATAGGCAACTTCCACTGCTCTGGAGCAACCCCGAGACACTGTAATTTTGCCGAGGCAAGTGTGTGCACCACACATGTGCAGGTGGCCAGACAGCCAGCTAGTGGGTCCCCCAGATGATAAACAGCTGCCTGCACACCTCAGCTGCTTCACCGTTCTCCATACAGCATATGGAAACACTCTACAAGAGCCTGAAGGGGCACCTCAAATTCCCTTATGGAAAAAAACACATTTCAATGCCATTCAAACATAGGAAGATTCACAAAGACTTTATGACATAACCCTCAAGAATGTCAAGGGTCTACTGTATACTTCACACACACGGAGAGAGGAGAAGCAGGAGGGTACAAGAACGGAAAAGAAACTAGATGTGGGGAGGCTGAGGCAGGTAAGGCTGCCTGGGCTACACAGGGAAGTCTCAAGAAGAAAGCAGAGGGCTGGAGGGAAGCTCAGTGGTGAGCACTTGCCCACCGTGCATGTGGCCCTGGGCCCATCCCCAGTACCAATCAATCAATCAATCAGTCAATCAATAAAAGAGTGGAAGGATAAAACAAAAGAATAAAACTGGATACAGTAGTGGAATTACAGGTGAACTGAGACCTAACGAAAGCAAGGTTCATGGTCCGCTGGTGGCGCACACCTACATCCCAGCTACTCTGGGGGCTGAGGCAGCAGGAATGCAAGCTTCGGTCCACTTGGGCAACTTGGCAAGACCCTGTCTCAAAAAATAAAAAGGACTAGGAATATCGGTCAGTGGTAGGGCACTTGCCTCCAACGCACCAGGCACTGACTGCAGCGGGGTGGGGTGGTTTAAAGCTCTCAAGGTGCCTCACTCATCTTCAACAAGGAGCAGGCAGTTTTTGTCATGTAAATGTCATTTTTAAAATATTACAAAAGGGGGCTGGGGATATAGCTTAGCAGCACAGCGTCTGCCCTTCTACATAATGGGAAAGTAGAATACACATTATGCCATTTGACCCTACTGAAAACCTGTAGCCTTGACCAGGACAGTGGCCTTATCTAATCTCATATTCTTCCTGCAGTTCCACACTATGCTTCACAGGTATGACACAGTATTCCACATTTAAGTAAATCTGGAAATGCTGGCTAAAACAAAGATATGCGGTGATTTTGTTGTTATTTCTGCTGAAAAACTTCCCAAAACAGTTTGTATGATAACATGTACTATCAAATTCCAAGGAGGAGATGCATCACCTGACACTGTTTCCCAAAGTTATTTGAAGATGGAACCTTTTCCTTTTTTTGAGACAGAGTCTCGCTGTGTAGCCCAGGCTGGCCTTGAACTCACTATGCAGCCCACAATGGCCTCAAACTCACTGCAATCCTCCTGCCTCAGAATACTGGGATCCAGGCATGCACCACCACGCTGGACTCTGCGAACTGAGCCTTTTATTGGAGCACACAAGTAAGTGGTATTTCCATAAAGCACATGGAGCAGGTTTCACCTAGTCCCATAACCCTTAACCAAAGCAGCTTCACAAAGCGGTGGTTAGCAAGGAAATAAGGGGAGTAACCAATACAAAGTAACGGGTTTTGTTGTTTTCAGCTTTTTTTTTTTAAGTAGGGAAAGGTGAAGTAGTTGCTTGTTTTTTTGTTTAGAACTCAAATTTCTCTGCTCCCTGCATGCAGGGCCAGACAGTGCTGAGTGTGTGTGGGTTGCAGTGGACACAGGAGGGTCTCACCTGCACACCCCGCCTCCCCAGGCCTTGGTGATGCAGCCACAGGGCCACCCAGCAACACAGCCCACACCCTGGAGGAGAGGGAAAGGCTGCACAGCCAGGCAAGCAGCTCCCCTAGCTGTGAGGAGCATTTACACCAAGCATACAAACAGGAATTTCTCCTCTGCAGGACAGCTGCAGAGGGCTACCACCGCTAAGGGGGCAGGTTTCCTGCAGGAGGGTGAAAATGTTCTCAATTAGAAGGTGGTGATGGCTGCTCCATCTTGTGGAGTAGTAAAAAGTACATTAGGTGGGTGAATTGCATGGTTTGTTGGTCATACCTTAAGCTGTTTTTATGAAGTAAATGCATAAGAAAGAAAATTTTGGGGCTGGGGATTTAGCTCAGAGGCACAGCGCCTGCCTGGCAAGCACAAGGTCGTGAGTTCGATTCCTGGTACCAGAAAAAAAAAAACAAAAAAAAAAAAAGAAAATTTCTTGGCAGATATATACTATTATATACATAATATAAATATAGCAAAGTTAAATTTAAAGGTAATTATATGAAATAGCTAGTTCAATATAACCACTTATATCTAAGAAACCATTAGTAATGTGGTTCATTACATGAAATCATTGTAATGAGGTTCAGTTTACTGTGTAAGTACACTTAAAATGGGCTTTCTTTGTACTGCTAAGCATAACACTACTGCAAAAGGAGGAAAGCCCTAAGCAAGCACTTATAATACAAACCAGGTAAGTTAGAAACCACAAATTGCAATTCCCATAGGTGACCAACAACCAGGTAACTTTTCTCAACTAAAGTTTATTCTCAGTAAGAATAAGCGGTGATGCCACATGTCTATAATCCTCACACTCAGGAGGCTGAGGCAGGAGGATCACAGTGAGTTCGAAGATGGCCTGAACTATATACTGAAAGCTAAAACTTGGGAGGCTAAGGCAGGAGGACTGCTGTGAGTAACAGGCCACCCTGGGCTACATAGTGAGTTCAAGGCCAGCCTGAACTACACAGTGATATCTTGTTTCAAAAAAAAGAAAGGAATAATGGAAGCTTATTTTCAAAAGATTATAATCTTTTCTATGCTGTACTATGATATCATAATATTTATATACAGGTTTAATATATTATTACATGACTTCAACCAGAATTTCTTGAGGTTTAACCACCTTCTGATTCCATTTTAACCTATATAAATATTTTTTTTTTTTTGAGACAGGGTTTCACTATGCAGTTCAGGCTGGCCTTGAACTTACTTTGTAGCCCAGGCTGGCCTCAAATAGGCATGTGCCACCACGCCTGGCTGACCTATTTTCAGACAACCCTACAAACAAAAGTGTTAATATCAGTTGCATGCATGTGATCATGATTTTTTTTTTGGTCTTTTTGTGGCAGGACCTTGCTATACAGTTCAGGCTGGCCTCGAACTCACAGCGATCCTCCTGCCTCAGTCTCCCAAGTGCTGGGATTACAGGCATGAGCCACTAAGCCCAGCTCAAAATAAATGTTTTTTTGTTTGTTTTTCATACTGGGAATCAAACACAGGACCTTGTCTCACCAGGCAGGCGCCTGTACTGCTGAGCTATATCCCAGCCTGATCATGACCAATGTTGAATATACATATTTAACTCAGTACTTATTAAAAGCATAGCTTCTCTTAACTTAGAAACACAAACTTCCTTTTCTTGCTTATCATGTTCTAAAAAGAAGAAACTACTTTGAAAACAAAGGTGAAAGCAGATGCTTCAGGAGATTAATATTTTAAAGAAATTCAGGACTCTCACCATCACTTCTTACTATTAACTATTACGATAAGACTTGCTTCAACTTAAATGAAAAAAATCCAGGGTGGGCAATTACAACTGTGATAGCCTAAACTGATGACAAAATTATAGGGATGTATTTACAATGAACATGGAATTAATCCAAGCCGAGCCATACTGCATGTTAAGAGGGCAGGGTAAGGAACTGATGTTTTCTGTCTGTTAATCCAACTCAACAGATATGTTCAGCCTAAGGCATGGGTCCCTTTCTTACCTGAGATTAAAGTTTTATCCCTTGCCTCACTAAGCAGCTGTTTCTAACTTTCAGGTAGTGTAATTTGAAGCCTGCATGCTCATTCGAAATTCTAAGAGAGTGTTCCCAAATCAGAACGTGCGCACACCCTGATGGGATCTCTACCACCACAAATTATTTGTTTCACACTAAAAGTTGAAAAAGTGCTCATCATGACATAAAAGTGCTCATCATGACAATTCTTTTTTAAGCACTTTAAACGGGTGACATTTGCTTATGCATAGGAACACGGATGAAGAGAGGCTGTGTGTGTGTGTGTTAAGATAGAACTAAAAGGTTCACTTTCTGTGTAAAGACAACAAATATCTAAAACTTTTGGATATCTCAAATGTCCCACAATGACCAGTATGACTTCTAGAGAACTGAAAAAGAGTGGGGCTGGGGATTTAGCTCAGCGGCAAAAGCGCCTGCCTGGCATGCGCAAGGTCGTGAGTTCGGTTCCCGGTACCGGAGAAAAAACCCAGAGAAAAAAAAAAAAAAAAAAAAAAAAAAAAAAAAATGAAAAAGAGGCTTAGGGATGAAGTAAGGAAAGTACAAGAGGACCCTGGAATTGCTAGTGTAAGACACTTCCAAAAATAACTCATTTTACTTTTTAAAATTTGGCAAAGTGTACATGCACAATTCCAGTGATAAAGCCTACCCTGAAAGAAAAGTAGTTTCTAAATTACAGTAAAAATGCTCTTTTGCACAATATGAACTTTTTTTTTTTTTTTTGGTTTTTCGGTTTTTCTCCGGTACCGGGAACCGAACTCACAACTTTGCACTTGCCAGGCAGGCGCTTTGCCGCTGAGCTAAATCCCCAGCCCCCCACAATATGAACTTTTAACAAAAAGTTCACAATATGAACTTTTAACAAAAAGAGGCAATATAAAAACAATGCAAAATACCATACTATGTATAAGTGTTTTCAAAAAAAATCTTAAATTCTTTTTCAATGCCTTTCAATTATAGATTTAAAAACCTATTATCAATTGTAATACTTAAATAGTTCTGTAATTTCTCTCGCTAGGCAAATGATGAAGCTAAGAAGTCAAGAACTATTTTATAAGACCACAAAGCAAACAAATCAGTACTAATGCTTCAAGCAATTTTCCTGGAAAACAAAAAATTTTAAAGAGAGAGACAGAACAAATTCCAATCCTCCAGTAAGAGCAGTGACTACTCCCCACCAGCCGCTCTTACCTGCGATCCTCCGATTTGGGGATGGGGTTGGTGCAGCGCTGGCTGTTATACTTGGCCACATATTCACATTGCTTGAAGGGGGCAGTCTTGTCCTCCAGAACGTGTCTGATACAGAATGCGTAGCCGTTGAGTCGCCGCTGCTTGCACAGTTTGGGGCTATACGAGCACAAGGGCTTATTGTCAACCTCAGAGAAGTGTATATGTTTCCCTTCATACATCACGTGACTCTATTCCTTGTGAACATCAGCTAAACGTCTACCACAAAAGAAAAGAAAAAACCCAAATGATAAATCAGATTATAAAACAGAAAGCTGAAAATTTCACTGAGGGACTTGTGGCCCCACGCCCATACCTGAGTTTATATCTTCTGCACCATAGCAATGTTAAGAGAACCCCAAGGGTACCACAGTTTGGAATGCTGCTGAAATCGAGATGAAGCAGATTGTCTACAAAAATATCAAAAAGCCTAGTTAACAAATACATATAAGCAAGGCTAACTCACTCAGGTCATAAATTATTTTATCACCTTTTTAAATGTGATGGATTCTATGTTGTAACCCAACATCTCAATAACGAAGCCAAATAATAAAAGATATAAAGTATGTTACCTTTATGTTTACTTTAGAAAGTAACTAAGACATATGGTTATAAAGATATTTGGCAATTTGAAAGCAATGTTTCATTTATCTTTTCTTTTCTCTTCTTTTTGTCTTTTTGAGACAGGGTTTCACTATGCAATTCAGGCTGGCCTTGAACTCACTTTGCAGCCCATTCTGGCCTCAAACTTCCAGTGATTCTTCTGCCTCAGCCTTGCCTGCCTCACCTCCCAAATGAACCTTAAAAGAAATGTTTCTATGAAACACAAACTACATTGAGCTAAACCACATTCATTCGCTCAAGTTAAATTTTGTGAATACCTCAAAGTAGCCGAGCTTGTCCGCCAAGTGAGTATCACAACTGTAGGTCTTTTTACCTCACTACTGGCAGGAAAAAAAAATTTTTTTCCATGAGACTTGGTCTCATTATGTACTTCAGGCTGGCTTTGAATTCACTGTGTAGCCAAGGCTGGCCTCAAAGTCACAGTGATCCTCCTGCCTCAGCCTCCAGAGTGCCAGAATTACAGGTGTGCAACACTCACTACTCCTCGCTTTTACCACTGGTAAACATTAAGTCTACCTTTAGAAATCTAATCCCTTTACTATGCTGATGGAATTACATTTAGACCTAGTCTCCCTCAGAAATTTTCTTTTTGTATGGTACTATGGTCTATTTCCAGATGCCCCCCCACCCAAAGTCTCATGTGCTCATAGGTGGGCTCTGGGAGGTGACGGCATCATACAGCAAGATACTACTCAATGGTGGATTAGTCCACTGATGGGTTCACAGCTAAATGTGACGTTGGGAGAAGCCTGGTCATGGCCTGGAAGGGTCTATATTCCCCTCTCCTCCCTTGATCTCTCTCTTGCTGCCTCCTGCCTGCCCTACCATAGACTGCTTCTTCTCTGCCAGGCCCCTCTGCCACAGTACCCTGCTTCGGAGCCAGCCAACTATGGACTGAAACCTTTATCAGCTAAGCCTCTCCTCCTCTAACTTGTGAGTGTCAGGTATTATGTCTTAGCAATGAAGAAAGTAACTGACACATATGGTTATAAAAATATTGGCAATTTGAAATGTTTCTATGGAACACAAACTAGCAAATTCCTGCTTTTAAAAACATGCTATTGTCTTCTACTTCCACCAATCCCATCAAACTTGAGCCCAAAGACTTGGCGCCCAACCACATTTGTATCATCTCAGAGTCCTGCACCATGGGGAGATCCTAGTCTCTTTCTGTTTGGGGTTTTTCTGTTTGTTTGTTTTGAGACAGGGTCTCACTAGTTCAGGCTGGCCTTGACCTTCACTTTTCAGCCCTGGCTAGCCTCAAACTCACAACGATCCTCTTGCCTCAGCCTCCTGAGTGCTGGGATTACAGGTGTGTGCCACCACGCCTGGCCTCTAGTCTCTTGAAGTAGGGTAAAGATTATGGCTTTTGAGAGTGCATAAGACAATGATAAGAAATTACGCAATACCCACTACCTTTCTACATACAAAAGGCACATGGACAGCACTCACCCAGCGCCATACAGCCCACAACCACGAAAGTGAATCTGACTAGGAGTCTGGCTGAGTGAGCTGACACAGTCTAACTCATCCTCCTGAGGTCACTAAGAGGCTGAGATGACAGTTCAGATGATCGTTACTGGGAGAAAAACCCTGCAGGCAAGGGGCTCGGAGGACAGGGAGTGCTGTACCATGTCTAAGGTGCTGGGTTCCATTTCCCCCAAAAAAGACACAGAGAAAAAAAGGATTTTCTATACCACTGAGTGACAAGATACACAGACGCTTGAGTCAAAAGACATGGACTGTTCAAGTCCAACATCTCTGCCACTTACTGTAACACTGACCAAACCATTGCCCTCTCTGAATCTCAACTTTCTCACCTGTAAAACAGCTGTAACAGTCACTGTGTTATAGCTACTTGTTCTGAGGATCAAATGACAGCACAAAACACTGTAAGGAGCATGCCTATCATATGATAAGCGCTGGATAAACAGAAGTTTATTATTCATAAGTGTTAATTCTTACAATGTATCACTAGCTGGGCGTGGTGGCACGTGTCTGTAATTCCAGCACTCAGGAGGTTGAGGTAGGAAGACTGCTGACAGTTCCAGACCAGCCTGTACTAAAACAAAACAAACAAAAATATATATATGTAATGGCCACCTGCCAATGATAATGGTGGGCAGCCTGTGCCCTTCTTAAGAAACATTTCACTCACTTTGGTAGGAAAAACAACCCTGAGATATTCACTTAGTTAATAAAAATCACGTACATTACTAAGTGAATCTAATCATACATCAATAAGGCATAAAATAAGAATCAGAGCGTCCCTTCCCACTTTACTAGGCTGCAAGAAAGAAAAGCTGGACTAAGAGTTTAAATATAGCTACACCGAAGGTCTGGCTGCCCAGGACAAGAACTACGTCAAAGGAGACCCACGCTCACATTCTCTGTGCCACTCCAACCCGCAAGCCCTACCTCTCCCACAAGCCAGTGCCAGCAAGTCTATGTGCACTTCAGGAAAAAGCCCCGGATATAAGCAAATAAAGAAATTAACTTACAGAATCAGTTTGTCTTTATGAAAGAAGAATTCTATACATCAACAGCATGAGGGTACGTTCTCATAGAAGGCCGATGGCCAGCATGAAACACAGGAGGAATATGCTTATTTTTTATTCTGGCACACTCAAGGTACTGTACATAACCACATCACCTATCAGGACTGATGAGCTGCCATCTCTTATGCGTACCTGGCCCCTAACTGAACTGACTAAAACACTGCTAAGAAGTAATGGCAGTATTATTACTCCTGCACTGAAACAAGAATGGCTTCATTAGAAATAACACTGATTTTTTTCTGTTGTTGTTTGTTTTTTGGGATAGGCTCACTATGTAGTTCAGGCTGACCTTGAACTTATTATGTTGCCCAGGGTGGTCTCAAACTCATGGTAATCTTCCCGTCTCAGGTGTGCACCACCAAGTCCAGCTGAAATTTTACTGATTTTGACCTGGGCTTGGTGGCACCTGCCTATAATCCCAGTGCTCAGAGGCTGGGACAGGAGGATCACTCCAAGTTCCAAAAAGCCTGAACTCAAAGTAAAGTAAGACCTTGTCTCAAAGTAGGAGGAAGAGGAGGAGGAGGGGGAGAAGGGTGGAGGCTGACTTTATCCTAAGTCATAGTTCCTGTATGTTGCTCAGCAAAACATGTGCTTGGCACATATGAAGTGCTGGGTTCAATCTCTAACACCAAAAAGCAAAACATTGTAAATTACAGTTCTGGTTCAATGAAGAACAGCTGTTCATTTTTAGTTCTGTTGTTTGTTTTTTGCAGTGCTGGGCAAGCATTGTACCACAGTTACCTTCCCAGTCCTTCTTTTTATTTTTATTTATTTATCTATTTGGTCTTTTTGAGACAGAATTTCACTATGTAGTTCAGGTTGGCCTTGAACTCACTTTGTAGCCCAGGCTGCCCTCAGACTTGCAGCCATCCTCCTGCCTCAGCCTCCTGAGTGTTGGGATTACAGGCGTGTGCCACCACAGTCAGCTTATTCTGCTTCTTAAATATTTTTATTTTCATTCTTTTCTTGCTTAGTAGTCTATTTATGTCTGTGAATTTTCCTCTGAGTACCATTGTAATTTTATCCTATAGGTACTAATACACAGAATTTTGACTATCAGTACTTTCTAGCTCATTTGGATTAGAGTTCTTAACTTCTTTAACAAGAGTCAATTTTTTTTTCAGATGGTAGGGGTTATACTGTTCTTTGTTTAAATTCCAGGGAGGAAAAGTACTGAAAAAGAAACATAATCTGCACTGTATCTGGGGTTTTGGACTGGACTAAGATTTTCGTGGGGGCCTACCATATACTCTCGAGAAAGAGCACGCACTGTTTGCAGGGCTCATTGCTTCGCACATCATTTACAATGTTGCCAACAACTCTATGTCATTATTTTCTCTGCTTGTTCTATCAAGGCCTGGAAGGACTGAATCAAAACTGCCTACTATAATCAGATGCCTGTTTCTCCCGATACTTTATGTCTTCAAACTGTATGTATTCATCTGTTACTTGGTGTGAGACTCAGGATACCAGACCGTGAACTCAAACTTTACTCTTCATTACAGGGTGCGTGCCTGCACTTCCTGCTATCCCAGGAGGTGAGGCAAGAGGACTCCAAGTTCAAGGCCAGCCTGGGAGACCCTCATTTCAAAATAAGAAAGGACTGGGGAGATCGCTCAGGTCCTCCTGGTGTTCAGTCCTCAGAACTAGAAGGAGGGGGAAGGGGAGAGAGACAGAGACAGGGAAACACAGACCTACAGATGCAAAAGAAAAGAAAGGTGAAAAGCGGCCAGGGGTGTGCCTGGGGCAGTGCTTCACAGTTGTTCTCCAGCACTCTGATGCTTTTCGGCTTAAATGTGGTCTCATCAGACACAAGTATCTAGATCGTTGCTCTTTTGAATTTGCTAATTAGAATTCTGCCCACCCTTTCGCTCTCAGCTTTTCTGGGGAACTATTGTAATCCCAGCACTCGGGAGGCTGAGGCAGGAGGAGGCAGGAGGATCGCTGCGAGTTCAAGACCAGTCTGGGCTACAAAGTCAGCTCAAGGCCAGCCTGAACTGCACAGGAAGACCCTGTCTAAAAAAAGACAAAAGAAACCCAAACATTTTAGGTGATAAATCAGAAAACTATGGCTTACAAGACAGAGCTGGCCACTGTGCGTTTTTTGTAAATTAAGTCTGATGGGAACACAGCCATGCTCATTCACTTACAAGCTGCCCCTGCCTGCCTTCCTGCTGCACAGCTGAGCGGCACAGCTCTGACAGGTACAGCCACAAAGCACAAAGCATTTACGCATTTTAAATTTTTTTATATGTATTTTTGTGGTGCTAGGGATAGAACTTAGTCTCGAACATTGCCAGGCAGGCACTCTACCACTGAGCTACACCCTCAGCCCTGCTTACTGTTTCTAGATTCACCTCTTACTGGGTTAGACTTTTTTTGCTCTAATCCGACAGTCACTTTCTTTTTCTTTACTTTTATTTTTAGTTTTTGAGATCAGGGTATCCCTGTGTGGTCCAGACTGACCACCAACTTCAATCTTCCCGCCTCAGCTTCCCAACTGCTGGAACACCAGCATGTGCCAGCACACCCAACTGAAGCTGTCTTCTTTTGTTTGCAGCACAGGAGATTGAAACAGGGTCTTGTACATGCTAGGCAAGCATTCCACCACCAAGCAACCTCTCTGCGCCGGCTATAGTCTGGGGTAGGGCCTCACCAAACTGCCCAGGATGGTCTCAATCTCTCTCCTCCTGTCTCAGCTTCCCAAGTAGCTGAGATTACAGGCATAAATCACCATACCCAGCACCTCTGGTCTTTTCTCATTTTTATTTTTCCATTTTTAGATTGCTCAAATTTCTCAAGCTTATCTCTATTATCCACCCATTCCTTTGAAAGTGACTATCACTTTTTTCTTTTTTGAGACAGTGTCTCTCTATGTAGGCCACACTGGCCTTGAACTCATAGCGATCCTCCTGCTTCAGCCTCCTGTGTGTTGGGATTACAGACATACTCTACCACACAGGGCCTTGAAAGTGACCATCATTTCTGTATCAGTGAGATTTTTCTCTTTTACTTGTATCCTGGTTCCATCAGCTGACTTAGCTCTTTCTGTTTTATCACTATTTCTTTGAACTTTTTGTTTCATCTTCAAACTCCTGTTTCCTGTATCTCACTCCCTCTCCTACCACAAGGAACTAGTTGATTGCAACTTTCACCTGCCATTTCTAAAAATAAATTATTAGGAACGCTTTTCTCTTGAGGTCTGACTCACGCTGGACTAGTTTGCCTAACCTACGGTATCCACGTGGCGTAGTTTTGGGGAGATAGCAATTCAGGTTTTATTCCGCTTCAGTTCTCAAAATGAGCTGCTATAAGGCTCCTTGAGTCTAGTCTTCACCTCCCCTTGGCACTTGGGCTGGTGTAATTCAGCCCCTCGACTTGCTCCCAGGGAGCCCAAGGCACACACCCAGCACTGCCACTGCAGGGCAGGGCTGTTGCTTTTGTCCTCAGAGTGTCACCTACTTGGGAGAAAGCTGTTCCTCTCACTGTGCCTGATGCTGATTCCAAAGAAATCTTTCTTGGCACTCTCTCACCCTAGTTCAGACTTTTTTTGTGGGGTGGGAGGGCGGGGATTGTATTTTAGACAATGTTTTGTTAGGTAGGTCAGGCTGGCCTTCAATTCACTATGTAACCCAGAAACCCAGGCTGGCCTGGAACTCACAAGGATGCTCCTGCCTCAGCCTCCCAGATACTGAAATTACAGGTGTGCTCCACCACTCCCAGCTTATACAAGTATTTCTAATACCCACAGCCATATACCAAGAGAAAATATAATACAATATGCTCGGATATTCCAGAACATCTGAACAGCAAATACTTTTTCAAATGGATGTTATATAATTTGCAACTCAATATTTATCCAGCAAATCATGTTCCAAACAATCGGAGCTCACTGAAAGCCTGCTTCTCACCAAGAATTCACAAACCTCTTCAACTCCCCTCTTACTCTAGTCACCTTGGGTTCCACCAAGCCATTATACAAAGAGGTTTGACTCCAACGCCTTGCACACAATTTCTCTCCAACCTCCTTTTTCTTATACTGACTTGTGATTAATTTTCCCTCCCATTTCTTTATTTAATTTTTTTAAAGTCCTAGTAAGAGTACACTTTATGTAATTCTTTACATTTTCCTTTTAAACAACCAACTGTTCTTTTCAAATTCCTCTTTTAGAAGTTCAGTTTAGGGTTGAGGATGTATGGTAGAGTGCTTGCCTAGCATTCCCAAGACCCTGGGTTCCAGTTCTTGCACCACAGAATACATTTTTTTTTTTTTTGTCTTTTTGAGACAGGGTCTCGCTATGCAGCTCAGGCTGGCCTAGAGCTCACTTTGTAGCCCAGGCTGGTCTCGAACTTGCAATGATCCTCCTGCCTCAGCCTCCCAAGTGCTGGGATTACAGGCGTGTGCCACCATGCCCGGCCAATACACATTATCTATGCTCAATTTAATCTCTCTTTGACATAGACCAAGAGAGATTACATACCATAAAGAAAAAGAATGAGAGAAGAGAATGGACCACTGCTTCAAAATCACAAATATTACGTTAATATAAAAGTAACTTTTGTCTATAAACTAGAGCAATTATTCATCTGATCTTTTCTACATTAAGAAATAGTTTTTCGTATTTATTTGTTAGTTTGTTTCGTACTAGAAGTCAATTCCAAGGCCTTGGCACTGAACTAAGTACTGAAAAGCGTAGTACTTTTAAAAATTTTTTACTTTGAGACAAGATCTCACCAGTTGCCCAGGCAGGGCTTGAACTTGTAATCTTACTGCCTCAGGTTCCCAAGCGTTTTTCCTTTTTAATAAAGAAAAATTTAGGGGGCTGGGGATTTAGTTCAGCGGCACAGCACCTGCTTGGCAACCGCAAGGTCGTGAGTTCGATTCCCGGTACCGGAAAAAAAAAAAAAAAAGAGAAAAAGAAAAAATTATAACAAAAGCACTAAGAAAGTCTTCAAGGGGGGAAAAAAACCCTCCATTCTTTACCCCTACCCTTCCAACTCTGGACTGTTTACAGTTTTTCACTGTTACTTCTGTTTTGCAAGGCTGGGAATCCAATCCACGGCCTTGCACATACTGAGTGCTCTACTGCGGAACTGCACCCCTGCACCTCACCAACTGGACTTCTTTCTTTCCCCTTAAATCCCAGAGATGAAGCTGACATCACTTTACTCATCAGCATTCAATGTAAGATGTACAGAAGAAGGGAAACATGTAATCTTAAACAAACACCTTATTAGCTCTAAAATGTAAATATTATCAAATCTTCCAGACTGGGCATATAAGACTGGTAAGACCACTTGTGCATGAAACCTGAGGTTCAACCCCCAGCACCTCAAAAACACAAGGGAGGCCGGGCGTGGTGGCACACACCTGTAATCCCAACACTTGGGAGGCTGAGGTAGGAGGATCGCTGCAAGTTTGAGGCCAGCCTGGGCTACAAAGTGAGCTCAAGGCCAGCCTGAACTGCATAGTGAGATTCTGTCTCAAAAAGACAAAAAAAAAAACCAAAAAACAAAAAACCCATAAACAAAACTAAAAGAAAACAGAAGGGAGATGGGGTGTGGTGGTGCACATCTGTAATCCCCATGCTGGGGAGACTGACAGGTAGGAGAATCACTGCGGAGTTCAGGGCCAGCCTGGACTACACTGAATTCGAGGTCAACCTGTACTACAAAGTGAGACCCTGCTCAAAGGAGAAAGAAGGTTAAAGGGTAAACACTATTGCATTTTCTAATGATAATAAAAAGTTAAAACTAAGCTTTACTTTTTTTTGGCTTTTTGAGACAGGGTCTCAGGCTCTCTATGTAGCCCAGGCTGGCCTTGAACTCACAGTGATCCTCCTGCCTCTGCCTCTGAGAGTGCTAAGATTACAGGTGTGCACCACCATGCCTGGCTCATTTATACTGATTTTAAAAACCTAACATCTATGTATCAATATGAAAAGTAGTAAAATTTGACTGACCAATGATTAAAATCAACTGGTGTGACTGAAAGAGAAAAAAAATGAGTGAGAAAACTGCCCATCACCCTAGAATATAAACATTCATCATAAAATTCAAACTAGCTGGCATGGTAGCGCATACCCGTAACCCCAACAACACTCAGGAGGCAGAAGCAGGAGGATGCCCCTAGTTCTAGGCCTGCCTGGGATACACAGCAAGACCCTGTCTCAAAAAAAAACAAAAAGTTCAAACTAGAACATGTAAAAATAAAATAAACAGCCGGGCGTGGTAGCACATGCCTGTAATCCCAGCACTGAGGAGGCTGAGGCAGGAAGATGGTTGCGAGTTCGAGACCAGCCTAGGCTACATAAGTGAGGTTCAAGGCCAGCCTGGACTGCATATCAAGACCCTGTCTCTAAATAAATAAAATAAATTAAAAGCTTAGTAAATGTCTATCTGACAAAGACTGCGAAGATAGCTCTGTACAATAAGTCTGCATTATCTACTTAAAATAATTTAAACAGCCTTTTCAATGGTTCCTCACCTGGTTTATCGAAAGGTAAGGAGTGTTAATGTAGTAGCAGAGATCACTTGTTGGCTCTGGTAGCAACCTGGGATGGGGCTCTAATCTGGTACAGCTCTCATCTGTAAAGGGAAGATTATAACTGTGCAGCCCTCACTGAGTCACGTAAGAGAATTAAATTAGGTATTTCATGACCCATGCTTAGCATGGTAGCCAGTACATAGCAATCACTTAGCGTTAACTACTATTAGAGCAGTAAGTAGCAGCTTATTAGTACTATCACTTTAATCTAGAATCTGCAGGGCTCAGATGCCCTCCAGCTGCTAGTGGTTCCTGAATGGCACTGTGTAATTCTCCATTAATTCAGGCCCTCCCACCTTCTTGGGGCCGGAGTTACAGAATTCACGGAGAATTCTTTCGTGGGATCCATATGAAACAATCTTCCACAATATTAGTCTATTTGTGATGAGAAATACTAACAGAATGATACCAGTCTGACTTGCTCTAGTTAATCATCTTTTACAACAGATGCTTTCTGAATTCTTCCCTGCCATGCTCACTCTACTGCAGGAACCCTGAGCTGCAGGAGGAGAAAGGAGAAAACTATGTCGCAGGTAAACTCTTCAAAGTTCTCCTGTTCTAAGAAACCAAAGTAATGTTTCTTTGGTGCTGAACACCCCACACGCTTTTCCTCTCCAGAGAGGTGCTGGCCACTTCTCGCTCCTTCTCCACGTCCTGGCTCCACAGCTGGTGCTTCCCTTCTCTGGCTCCCACACTCAAGGCTCAGTTATTGCATCTTATTTTATCAGGAGGCAAGATGAGGTGCCTGCAGGGGCCACTCGTGCTCCGAGCCAAGCCAGTTCCAGCAAGTTGTCATAATTATTAAAAAATAATAATAATAAACCTGGGGTTTTCAGATCTTCCAAATTTCCACAAGATATTTTAAAAAATCCAAGATTTGACATAAAATCTCCCAACATTGTGACAGCAACTTATTAAAAATTCTGAACATTGTCAAGAAGGACAACATGCACCAAGTAACCTCATAAATCTGTTTCCCTGTCTATGAAACAGCAGTGCCGAAGTCGTACATGTAGTCTTACACAAAACCTCTCTCCAGCTTGTAGCATTCTGGCTCCATGTGCACCCCAACTGGGAAGTTACCACCCAGATTTCCAGCCAAAGGTGCACAACCGTCAATGCGTCCATGTGTGCTTTCCCTAAGAACCACAAGCTCTACTGTCCCTCCCGCCACGGCGTCCGGTCCCATGCCAGTGCTGGTGCCAATGCCCCTCCTGCCACCGCCGCCGGTGCCGCGCACGTGGCCAGCGACAGCTGCTTACCTTCCTCACCTCCACCTCCTCCTCTCCATCTTGCCACTCCCCGATTCAAGCCCCCTTCACGCTCTTCTCAGTAACTGCCCCACGGGTCTACTTTGTCTTTGGACAACTTGAACGCTCAGAATTGTAAATAACTTGTTTGGCCAAAGGCCTTCGCAGGCTTTACTTATGAATCTAAAAAACTGATCAAAATTCCTTTTCTAACAAGAAACTTCTCCGGCCCAGGCCAGGCTAACCTCTCCTCTCACCACCTATTCCCCTACTCCCCCAACTCCTCCGCCCGGAGAAACCACAATTTGCAACACAGAATACTCTTTTGTCCCCAGGCACTTATTCCTCCTCCCAGGTCCCACCTCCTGGAATACCTGACCCGCCCAGGCACTGCCCAGAAACCTCCGGGCACAGCCTGTGTTTTGGG